TTCCTAATAGCGTAGCGAATAGGGGAGAGATAGTTTACTCCTTGGAGGAACGCAGGCATACCAATGGACATGATACCGGACATAAATTGCGCTATTGATAGAAATACACTTGTAAGATTTACGGCGAAGCCTGTGTGGGAGAAGAGGGTATTGAACTATTGTCATGTTAGTAACTACCACGAGTCTTGGACTTTGAGCAAGTAGAACATACCATAATACCCAAACTCTCCCCACAATTGATAATGCAAAAGCAATTAAAGAAGCATACAAAGAATACCTGAGCATTTCTGGGTAGTCCCGTAGCTAAATCCGTCAATATTGCAAAGATGAAAGATGTGAATATCTCAAACGGTATCTCCAATGTAGTATATTGAGCAAAAAATGCTTCGACGCTATAAATACCATCGTCGTTTTCTCGATAGAAGACATCTTTTTCATTAGGATAGACTGCAACATTCTGCAGCATACCTACGAAATAAAATGCACAAAATTCTTGGATGAAACCAAATCTGTTTTGTACGGAATAATAGTCGTGTTTTAAGGGTGCGAAGAACAAAGCGAGAATGATGGCGAGGCCTAAGACTTGCATAGTTCGAGCTAAGAGTAAATCAGGTTGTCGACGGAAATTGATCGAAGCTCTATGGACAAGAATAGGGTACGCAGAGAAGAAGCCAGATGATTTGCGAACAAGAGAGCCCAGTTCTGCAGGAGTAGATATTGTGGTTGGGATGATAGCTTTTGTAAAATCCCCAGATGACCAGGAATTAATGAGATCTCTTACTCTGGAACGAGTGGCCTCCTCTCGTCTAGACTGTTGTAAATCAATGGTGATTAGATCGAGTGCGAAATCAGCTGGATTTGTCGTAGTGGGACATGGGTGGCCCAAGTTATTAAAGTGTGAAATCATATCAGAACCTTTACCAGCGTAAACGGGAAAGCCTCCACGTGCTAATAGAAGAACGCTCCCAAAATGATTAAAAGTGTCCGAGCGAGATTGATGGATTGTGAGGATTAGAGTTCGACCTTCTTGTGCAAGACCTTGAAGCACTTCCATTATTGATGAAGCGGTGAATGCATCTAAACCAGAGGTTGGTTCATCCAAAAGAAGCACCTATGGTAAACAATTAGAGTCGAGACATTTCAAACAGCGTAAGGAATATTTTCAATTGGAAGTGGAAGGGGAAAAGATAAAGTTCTTATAGACTCACCCTTGGATCCGTCAGAATTTGAACGGCGATAGTTACTCTGCGCTTTTCACCACCTGATATACCTTTAATGAGATCAGATCCAATAAGGTTATCCGCACAATCCTTCAGACCCATCTTCAGCAGGACATCCTCAACACGTCGAATCTTTTGGTCCTTTGTCATGAAGGATGGAAGTCGCAGCCCGGCTGCAAAATGAAGGGTTTCCCTAACCGTTAATGAAGGAAGGAGTGCATCATCATCTTGACATACATAACAACAAACAGATCGTATGACTGAATCCGATGGCACTGCGCCATTGAAAGTCATGTCTCCGCTTGGTCGATATTTAGTTCCGATGGAATTACGTAGTCGCAGAGCCATCGCATTGAGTAAAGATGTTTTACCGCTGCCCGACGGTCCCATAATGACATTTAACACACCGGCTTGAAATGTTGCTGTGACTGGATTTAGTATGGTTTTGGTGGGTTGTTTTTTCCCAAGCGAATTGCGTTTCTCGAGATCTAAGGCGAATTTATCAAGGCCGATATCAACCTATGATACCTAGTTAGTGCCAATCCGTCATACGAAGCATGCATCGATTCATTTTTCGTCATTCATGATATCACTGGAAAGCAGAAAACAGAATATCTACTCACAGTTCGAACCTCCGCCGCAGACCTTACTGTCATTTTTTCTTTCCCTGCAGAAAAGTCCGCATCTGACCCTCTAGCTCTGGCAATCGACATTTCAACTTTTAAAAATCGTAGACCAATGCCCGCAAGTCCGTAGAACATGATTGAATAACAGAGTAGAAAAACGATTGGCCTGACAATCCAGTTATCAGGAAATCCCAGCGAATTTATGATGAATGCGCCTGTGTATTCAACACAGGCTGGGTTCGATTCTCCGCCCTCATAAGGACAATCATAAAACTGGCCTGTGAATTCGTTTGAACACAAAGCACCAAACGCATAGAAGACATAGGCTGTCCACTTCAGCCAACGCACGTACACCGGAATAGTATTTACTTGTACGAAAAATCCACAGGCAAAGCTCTGAACTGTGTAACCCATATTTGCAATGAGAGATGCACCAGCAAAATTTCTTGAAGCCGCTATGCACGTCATAGCGAAGGTGACGGCGATGTATTGACAGAGTAATACGATAGAAAAGAAAGTAAGAAAAGTCGAGCCATCTGATCTTAGACCTGCCATCCAATAGGATATGAGTGAGAATATCAGAGGAACAGGAAAGTCTTCGGTAAAGAACCTTGCAATTCTTCTACTGAGCAGAAAAGGGATAACGTCCACAACATTCTCGTTATTCTCACGATCAAAGAGTTGTATGTCAATCGTCAGACGATATGTTTCGAATAAAAGCATGAGATACCCTTGTAATGCGGCAGCATTGTAAAGTGCACCCTCGCGACTGCGAATACCAGAAAGATCTTCCCCCAGATTAAAGAACACCCACCCACTCATGATCCCCATCCCTATCGCTTCTATAAGAGATCCAAACATGCCCATAGGGTCTCGATAGGTTGTGACAAAGGTTCGAGAAGTTAGTACACGAGTCTGACGAACGAACGGAGAGTGACGTGTCCAATTCTTTGCTACAAGAGATTTTGTATCCGGCGTCTCGGTAGATGTAACCTTTTCCGAAACTTGGAAGAACCTTTTGTCATTTTCTTCTGCCCAAGCAAGTTTCAAATTTTCAACTCTTGCAGAAGAAGTTGCCTCGAGTTCAGGGGAGCGATTATCAATAGCAGCTATATCAATCAAGAACTCCGCAGGGTTGACAAACGCTGGTAGCTCCATGCCAATTCCTTTGAACCAAGACAAGCAGTCCGCAGCTTTGCCAGAATATACTGGACTACCTCTTGTTAAGATTGTTAGACCATCGAACATTCCCCATATCTCAGATCTAGGCTGATGAATGGTTGTAATAATCGTCCGACCTTTCCTGGCCAACCCTTTGAGGGTCCTGACTAGCTGAAATGCACTCGTCGCATCAAGTCCAGTGGTCGGTTCATCCAAAAATAAGACGCTTGGATTGCTTAACAATTGTACACCAATACTGGTTCTTCTTTTCTCGCCTCCAGAGCACCCCTTGTGTTGTGTGCTACCAATTCGTGTATCGGCGCATTCCTTCAAACCAAGCTCCAAGATTACTTCCTCCACAATGTTCCTCCTTTCCTTTTCAGTTGTCGGTGGCGGCAATCGCAGATCTGCAGCATATCGTAAAGTCTCTCGGACTGTCAAAGTTGGTAGTAATACGTCCTGTTGCATGACATATGCACTACGAACACTGTGTACACCTTCCATGCCATTGAAAGTTGTGGTTCCACCAATTGTTAATCGTCCACTTGTCATGCGCTCAGCCATTGTATTTAACATAGTTGTCTTTCCCGAACCACTGCCACCAATAATGGCAGTAAGTGTTCCGATGGGCATCGAGGCAGATACTGAGTGTAGGATTTGTTTCGTGGTGGGAGTGGCAAATCCATCTTGGGCCTTTTTTCGTGGTATCCATCGTTCAATCGAAAATGCTGAAGGAGAGATATCAACGTTCACCGAGAGATTTCGTATCTGAACATCGACCGGTTCCACAGCGGACAGAGAAAACGTATTGCTCTGGGTAGTCGTGATCGCTTGGAGATTTGTCGCATCATTTTCATTTGTGGCTGATGAGGCTAACGGTTGCGATTGAATAGATAACGATGATTTGGCCTTGGCTTCCTGAGCTTCGTGCTCATCCTTCGAGTCCATATTTTGAGGTTTTTCCTACAGTCGCATCTTCTATCACAATGTCTGTATTGTGTATGCTGGTCCACGGGGTTTGGTTTGATGTTTCGAGATATCCCTACTGTCAAAGAGCAAATAGCCTAATAGAGATCTCACCAGCCTAATTCAACGTTTCTGAATCGCACATAACATGGTATTTGAGATCAAAGAGATCAAAGAGATAAGATGAACTATACTTAGACATGTATTTGAGATGAATCTAAATCCTTCGAATGGAACATCGATATTATCTATACGGATTGGTCATTTTCCGGTGATTTGCCTTAAGGTTCATGATATCCTAGCTGTGATGTGGATGAATTTCTTGCGGGGGGGTTTCAACAATAGCTTATTTAGCGTACCTCGGCTGCGAAGCGATGACTGCAAACAGTAATTTCAGGCGATAAGACACCTATCGAACCCCGCAGTATAATGAATGTCCACCATGTCGGGATAGTCTAAAACCCAACAAACGGTGAATCTGTCAGTCTGTACAACAAATAATGTGTATGTCGCGTGTAGCGCATGCGATCGTCGCGTTCCAGAAATTCTAGAAGTCTAGAATAGAAGTCTACAAGACTACCGTCGACCCCTATCGTCATGCGGGTCGCACTAAAAGTTCTCTGAGAGTGTCCCGGTGAACTCCAATGCCGAACTTGGAAGCGTTCTACATGTTTGGACATATCAATTGAAGACCTTCAAGTCAATTAATACTTTGCTACACAACTACACCAATGGTAAAATAATGGAGAAGTCGTATTCATCGAATGGGTTGATTTTCTATCCTAGATACATGGTTACCGTTTCAATCAAGAGCCTCCAACGTTCAGTACAACACCGGTGGCTTAGGCACGCAAGCCACTGATACGAAGCTTCATCACATATTTTGTCGGTCATCTTGTATTCTGCTTTATCTATAAAGATCACGGAGAAGTCTTCTCTAAAAGTGTCCCAGAGGTTCTATTTCCTTCATTTCAGCAGCTAAGTAGTGGTAGCACCTGGAGTCCGAAATACAACTAAAACAACCAAGTCATGCGTCCAGCTTTGGGATTGGGATTGCACCGATATTCTCTGCAGCCAAACCGACAACCAAATCAATATAGACTTGCGTCAAAGTTGCACAGATTTCCCATACAATACAGCCTGATTTTATTGATCGAAAATTTAACACGCGGTTTAACATCCGGTAACTTTCATATCCCAAGTTGGGGATTGATATTGGGGAGTCCGCGTCACTATCCAATTCCGAATTCGTTTCATAAGCATCTTCATCTTCCTCTGGATGCGATCGATACCAGTGATGCAGAGCTGAATCTATCATTATTAGCAGAATGACTGTGGTTGTAGTAGTACCATACATCCCAGTAATGGCCCCGAACTTGAGGTTATGGTGTGCCAAATTACTCGCCAAAGTAGTTGCACCGAACGTAATACCTGTTGTCGTTACAAGAAATATTGCCAAAAGACAGATGGGTATCAGCGCAGCCTCAGAGCGCTCCAATATTTCTTGTGATTCTCGACGGCCAACGGGAAACGCTATTGCGCTCGAAATCAGAGAGGTAACGAGCTTTAAGGACGCTATAAACTGAAGTTGACAATTCTGATTTTGGCCTATCACTATTGGTGAGATGACTATGGTCGATGAGAACTGCATGAAAGCTAATAAGGCGTTGAAACGCGCGTGGTTTAAGCTGGTCCCATCTTCTAATGTATTTCCGCAACAATTGCTCCAAAGAAGAGGACTCTTACTACACAGCAGCATGACGGATATTTAAAGCGTGATAAGATCTGTCGCGACATCAATACCACCATATGGAAGGGCTAAATGTAGACTGGCTTGTGCTAGATCTATCTGTTCCGAAAGGGGTTTCACCGCCATAATCTAACTCTGAAAGACCAAATCTAACGGATCATGTAGTCAGAGTTTAATGGGGGAACATCTCTGTCTTCGACTCACAGCAGCTATTACTCTCTTGTCCTCTTCACGGATACATGCAAAGTTTAAATATATTTCCCAGCATTGGGCATTACGTTCAATAAATTGCCTCTCAAAAAGGCACATGCACTAGGTACATAGAGCTATGTTGACTTCCGCTTTATTTAGCAATCACTTCCGCAACAGAGTGGCACTCAAATTGAATCCTACCAGATCTTCCAAGTGCCATTTCTATGATATATGAGCTGTACAAACAACAAATCCTAATCAGACATGTGAAGACTTTTGGTCATGTGGATGCGCAAATCAGAAGGAAGGTACAGGCTTTGATCATTGTCTGTGCAATTAGTATTCGAGACAGCTCAAATTGATAGGTATTGATATAAAATACAGTTGAAAGATATGATCTACGGAGCAACTTTAATGATGGATATCATCCACTTCGACGCTGCTCTTACCTTGAGTAACGCAGCTTTTCTATCGTTCTTCAACTTGGGCTCTGTATAACGAGGCTTTCTATGAGACTCTTTAAAGATACAAATGCTACACTTTAATGAACCAGACGGCATCTTTCATCAGCGGCACAGTTTGATCAGCATACCAAGTGGTCATGTCTTTCACACCTTGCATCTCATTATATGCTTTTGAAGAGGCTCTACAACCTGTCAACTTAATTTTTGGATATCCACCGAAGCTCGACTTGTGGAGATGAATACCTGGTAAATCCAGATACACTTGATTGCAGGTACTCTGTTTACGGGAAAATGACATCCCAATTTTGGTTACAACGCTTTCGACTTTCATACCAAGCTATCGTAGCATCTTATTCACCAGTAGTGTATCATTCAGAGCACAAGTCAACTATATAAATCCTGCCTCATACATGGGATTTCTTCCCATGCATGCTACCACTCCAAAAGGTATCGACGCCAGGGGCTCTGCGGAATATACAACGCTGGGTATAATCTATATTCTCTCCAGTATGTACTTTTCACGACAATATATCAGCCACTATATACTATCACTCACTATCAGTCAACCCAAATTATCACCGCCAAAAATTCGCAACGAGATTATTCCCACATAGTAACAACGCTACAACATGCAACAAGTTGTTCATACCGTTCTCCAATAACAATACTATTGCGCAATGGGGAGTGAGATTACAGATAGATCCCCATAGACTATATTTTCGAAGTGCCTGAAATCCGATGGAGAGAAGCTAGCCATTCCTAGCTATATCTCTACTGAGATTCAAGTACGAAGTTGGTTTTATATCACAATGTGACTTTTGGCTATTCACTCTATTCACTGACAACTGAAAGGTCCACTTTATGCATATCGGTAAGCTTGTTCGATACTTCTCGACACAATTCAAGCTCCTCTATAAAAGACTTACGATTAAGTGCTTCCTTTTCAATCAAACAAAATGCGTGACGAGTTGATGGGCTGAGCATCAAGATTCATGTGAGGTAGAGCAAAATGAAGATTTAGCTGTTTTAATTTCTCTGATTCTGGCCTTCTCCGCCAAACACACGGGTGATATTCTGATTTGAAAGTTGTTGTCAATTCAACCAAACGGGTACTGTTCATTTATCATTGTCGATTTCGTCTACTGCCGAAGTTTGATTATTTCCATCATTACTTTTCCTTAACTCAAGACCAGAACAACAGAATAGAGTTAGTTGACCATTATAAGTCAGCAAATCACTTCCAACTGTAGCTCGCCTCATCAATTGTGTATCCGTTGATACATAAAGATCTGATAGCCCTAATTCTAAAATTGTATGTTCATTTTATACCTCTGTATGCCAAATTTATCTAGAAAGACGAGAACCGAGTCCGTCATTTTTAGAACTACGCGTACCTGAGCCACGAGAGTCCGATCGAGTAGAAGAGACTCTTTCAATTCCCAAACATACATTTGGCTGCATATTTTCGTCGGATTTATCTGTCTTTTCCCAAGAGCGTCTATTGTCGTCTGAAGAGAGGTATCTTACTAGAAATCCATCTTTTCCCTTCGTCAGTTTCTTAAGTTACTGTTGTTGAACAACTGATCGATCGCTAAGGATTCTAAATTTTCGTTTTCCGTCCCAGATTTGAAGCAAATTCCACACGATGATTGATATAAATGATGACAGCATTATGCCTGTGTCCGGAAAGGATTCAAGAGAGATATTTTGAGCATCTCATTTGTTACTTTAATTTTGCTTCCGGATGATTTGAAATCGATGCTAATGTATACTTCTCCTTGACTCACTGGATTGACGTGTGAATCGAGGACGAAGAAAAAGGAACAAGTAAAAGTCTCATGATAAAAAGGAATGACTTGTCCAAAAAGTCAGGTTATTTGAAGATGTGAGGGTGGAGAAAAAGAAAGTCATGGGAGATTGGTGGGCTTGGTGATCGAAAATTATGGTGAGGATGTTCAGGAGATACTTGTGAGGTGAATTAATATCGGAACTACTTTTCAGATTACCACACTTCGATAACATTTACTCTAATAGGAAACGATATTATATGGATATACGAAGAGACTGAAATAGTAGCTCTTAATTTTTTGCTCTGGGCGGCTGATTTTTTACCCTCCATCCTTTTCTGAAGACTCCTAGCTATTCAATATCAAACTCCAACCTCACTCCCAAACCCACTTCTTACCCCTCAATTCCTACCTAGGTATTATACAACTTCAAGCCCGGGCGCGCCCTTAACCCTTAACCCATCATTCAAAATTCATCTATTATGTACAGAGAGCCCTGTATCCCGTTTCGCAACTCAAGACGACATCTCATGCCAAGTTCACCAAACCTTCCGCAATTAGCTTCGCTAACGTCAACCGATGAAGTGAATACACCCACATTCTTCCATTTGTTGCATATCTGAACTTCCACTCTTCTCTGCGCTCGTTCAACTATTGGCTAAGCTCAATTATTTTCGATTCACCTACATGAGAGGGTAAGGTCCTTAAGCGTGGTAGCATGATATATCCATGGTGTAGACATTCTTGAAACAGAATTGTGCATTCACTCTCTATATATTCACTCCCGCCTCAAACTCGGTGTTCTTCTCACCTCACTCAACCGGTCGAAATCTGGTCTTCGCGTAGGGTTATAGATTTGATTGATTGTCTGTTCAAAAGATACAAAGCAATACTATATGATCATTAAGGCCCAGAAGCTCTCGTCAATCAATCATGTAACATAGAAAACGGGCTTATACAGAGAAATCAATCTTCCAAGAATCTTTCAAACCTTTCTCAAACAATAAAAAAGTTGCGATCATTGAAAAGACTACAGACATTCAAAAACCACATTGATGTGACACGAGAAAAAAAAAGCATTTTGAGAAGGCCATTCATAAATAAGAGCGGGTTATGCGATATCTTGAGTATGGATCAGGCAATCCAACAGTTGATATGTAAAATTGCAATTTATATATACATTGTTTTAGTTGATGCTTGTTAAAAGAGCATGTATATCTACTATATGTGTGGTACCTTATTCAACTGAGCGCCACCCAGCCAGCCCACCTAGCCAGCGAGCCAAGCCAAATTATCCCCTCCAATTTTCCTGAACGCCAATTACATGCGAGATCAAGCTATCAAGAGCATCAACCTCGACATTGTCCCAAGCTTCTATAAACATTCAATACTTTTGAAGAACGGATTCGCCCTCAATTTCTCATCGCCTCCCACCAGCCTCCTCAACACCGCAATTTTGTCCTCCTTCGTCATATCCTTCCCGTCAATTTCCGCCTTCCACTTCTTCAATATATCCTTCAACAATCGACTTCCCTCCTCCACATCCTCCTTTCCATATTCCTGACTACTGGGATCTCCATTATCAGTCTTTACACTAGTTCCGAAATCTTCCAACTCCTCTGCTTTTCTCCTCGCCATGCCTATTACTTTTTCTGGAAATTTGACTAGTTCCGCTACATGAATACCGAAACTTTGATCACAGATTCCCTCTTCAACTTTATAGAGTAACGTGACTTCTCGCTTCCTTTCTTGCGACGAAGGTTCTGTGTCAATATGCGCCACCACATGTAGATTTTTGACTTGAGGAAAAGTATCCGCCAACGCTGTCAGTTCATGGAAATGGGTAGCAAACATGCTGAATGCTCCTATCTCCCTGACGATATATTCAGAGATGGCCCATGCTAGACCAAATCCATCATAGGTACTAGTACCTCTGCCCAATTCATCAATGATGATAAGAGATTCTGAAGTTGCTGATTTGAGTATGTTAGCCGTTTCTAACATCTCTGCCATGAAAGTTGAGACGCCTTTGAGTTGCGAGTCCGATGCTCCCACTCTCGCTAAAATGCAGTCGAAAATCGTTAGTTCTGCTTCTGAGCAAGGAACGAAACAACCAATTTGAGCCATCAGTGCTATAACGCCGATCTGTCGGATGTATGTGGACTTGCCGCCCATATTAGGACCCTTTTGGTCATTAGTTAAACATATCAAGTTACACAATGTTCGTAACAAACTGAGACATTGTAAGGGTGGAATTGTAGTACATACTGTAATTATAAGGAATGAGGACTCGTCACGAATAAGCGAGACATCATTAGTAATGAATTGAACATCATCTTGCATTTCCATACAAGGATGACGAGCTTCCTTAAGAATCGTAGAACCAGTTCCACGAGGATGTATCTTCGGACGGACATAGGATGTAGGGGCATGCGCAGAGGTATGGGCTAGCGAAACTATAACGTCGAGATGGGCAAGAACAGACGCAAGTTGTTCAATGACTGGACAATAGGATGCAGCTGTAGCCACAACTTCATTCACGAGACTAGATTGGGTGCGGTTGTAATTTTCCGAGAGCTGATCGAATTCGCGGCGTATGGAAAGGAGCTTGGAGGTGGTAAAATAGACACCATTCTTCTGTGTCTGACATTCCTGGTATTTGCTTTTGTTTCGAATACAAGAGGCTTCCGTTCGTGTGAGTCTCATACACCAACCATGGACTTTGTTGTTTTCCAAGAAAATTTTCTTCTCAATTTCCTGGCCGAGATCTTTGGCTACTACACGGAATTCTTGATCCATTTCATACTTTAATTTGTCCAACTTCCTTCTAATGATATTGAGACTATCATCGAATTCGGGCTTGATGATATATTCGTGGTTGTCCATAGCATCGAGGTCGACTGTGGTCTCTACCATTTCTGCTAAATTTCCAAGACTAGCGTTGCATCCACGAAGCTTGTCTGTATATGCTTCATCAAGAGCATCACGATACTTTTCGTCCATGACATCTTCGAGAGTCTTAATGAAGTCCGGTATTCTTATGACGACTTGATATGCTCGAACGACATCTTCTAGATTCGCCAACTTTTTCTGAAATCGTTTGGCTAAGCGATATAAATCAGGTATCGATCGCATATGCGTTTCTTGTATGGTTTGTTTCAATTCTTGATCTTCAACAAAAGCCTCTACCAATTGCTGTCGTTTTTCGATTTCCTCCAAACTCATTAGAGGTTGTTTCAACCATTGTGCCAAAAGTCTACTTCCGACTGGTGTTTTGCAATGATTGAGTAAGCCATAGAGAGACATAGTTTTTGATCCATCCCTTGGTCCAGGCATAAGATTTAGAGCTTTCAGTGCAGAAGCATCCAATTTCATGAATTGCGAAAGATCATGTTGATAAAGTTGATATTGTCCAAAATTCGAATTATCATGCAGCACACCCAAGTAATTGATAAGAGCTGCCGCTGAGCCCATTGCAAGTTTCAGATCCGTTTGTGGAAGAACTCCCGTGGACTTCTCATCCTTCAAAAGTCTTGCAAGATCTTGTTCAATATCTTTGGTCCCAAAAGTTCCTCCTGCTCGTTCCGTCCAAGCACAGCCGCAGTTTTCGATAATTTGTTTAAGTTTTTGTAATTCAACATCCTTTGTCGATCTGTCTACTTGAATTAGACATTCTTTGACTCCGAGCTGAATCAGTAGCGATTCAAAATTCGAGTATAAATCGTTGTCGAGAAATTCGCTGACTCCCAATTCCCGAACACTTGCATCTGCAAAACAAACACCGATATTTCTTGCTTCTGATGCTTTGGCGGAAATCTTGACGGCGAGAATTATTGGTGCGGCATCAAATGATCCTCCTAATTCTTCCTCTACATCTTGCAAATTTCCTGGCGATGCTGTCTTTGTGACCTTCCAATTATTTCTTCCAGAGGTTGTGAATATTTCCACTCTCTTTCCCATTCGATAAAGTGCTTCTCGCAGAAAGTTTTTGTATACTGTTACGGTCATCGTTACGGAGGGAATTTTGGTAGAATTACTGCCTAGATCTCGTAGAACTGAAGTAGTTTTGTAGACCTAAAATCGTTAGATGTATGTCTACCTCCGTTCAAGGATACATACAGTGCGGGCGATGAACGTTGCATCATCTCCATGAGCTGTGTAAAAGTCTCCTCTATCGAAGACTCTAATAGTTTCTCCATCTTTCTGTGGTAAATTTGTGAAAAACTTAATGAATCCAAGCTCATCATCAACCTAATATACAGTATCAGTAAGAGACCTTTCAGACGTAAGAGCTACAATTATGAGGTGGCGTACCTTAAGCTCGGGTCGAGAAGACATTTTGAGAGACTTTCTTGAATATCGATTGCAAAAGAATGTCTTTAGGGTGCTCCAGAATCAGGAAAATAGAGGTCAAATCATGAAAATCAAACTTCTAAATCAATTTCCCAAGAATTGAGTAGAGGGGACGCGACGGGCGACACGCTAAACCATAAATCACGCGTTCTGCTAAAGCGGTGAAGAAGAAAATCAATTTAGATATTCTCAGTCATATGAAATTCAAGCTTCCCCTCACCAACTCCTTCAATCTATGTAAAAATGTCCGACATCGACGAACGACCCTCTAAAATCCGCAAAGTCGCACCTACCGACGATGCATCGACTTCTATCGATTCAATTGCCCCCAATTCCAATTCCAATGACACAACAATAAAGCTCGAACATTCAATAAGTACTGAAGATGCCCCCTCCAACCACGAATCCACCGCTGTAGCAAATTCAAATGAACCCAATCCCCTCTCAAAATCGCAATTGAAAAAGCGCAGGAAGCAAGAAGAATGGGAGGCCAACAAATCCAAGCGCACCGAATTCCGGCGCATCAAGCGCAAAGAAAAGCAGGCTCGTAAAGCTGCGGCTCAAGCAGCTGGTCTGCTACCTCCCCCTCCCCCTTCCTCATCCCGTCGACCTATTCAAGTGCCAGTTTCTTTCCTTATTGATTGTGATTTTGAATCCTACATGATGGAGAAAGAAATTATATCATTAACAGCGCAAGTAACACGCTGTTACAGCGATAATCGAACTGCAGTTTACAGAGGACATATGGGAATATCGGGATGGGGAGGTAAAATGAAGGAGAGATTTGAGGGAGTACTGGCAGGTAATTTTAATAGTTGGAAGGGGGTTAAGTTTATGGAAGAGGGATGGATGGAGGCAGCGGGTATCATGGACGGACTTATGAGGGGACCTGAAGGCGGGAAGTTGCTAGGTGCTTTGGCGACAGAAAATGGACTCGATGAATACAAGAAACCGCGCAGAGGATCAAAGAAGCTAGAAGCAGAATCAGCGGGGGCAGAACCAGTGGGGGCAGAATCAGTGGGGGCAGAACCAGCAGGAGCAGAATCAACGGAAGCAGAATCAGCGGAAGCTGTACAGCTACAAGTTGATAAACAGCTAAATTCATCCATTGCAGAGGCCCCAGAAGCCTCAGACTCTCTAGCCGCAACCAATTCCTCATTCACCACTCCAAATATAGTCTACCTCTCCTCCGACTCCGAAAATACTCTCACTACACTCTCCCCATACACGACTTACGTAATCGGCGGCATAGTCGACAAAAACCGTCACAAAGGCCTTTGCTACAAACGAGCTTGCGATGCGGGTATCCCAACCGCAAAGTTACCCATTGGAGAATATATGACTATGCAAAGTCGGACCGTGTTGACTGTGAATCATGTTATGGAAATCATGATAAGGTGGTTGGAAACGGGTGATTGGGGTAAGGCTTTCTTGAAGGTTATCCCTAAGAGGAAAGAGGCGAAATTAAAGGCCAAGGAGAAGAATGGCGGGGCAGAGGGCGAGGAAGATAACGAGGGAGAGGATGAAGATAGGCTGGATGAGGACGAGGAAGAAAAGAGTGAAGATGAGAGCGAAGATGGTGATGAGGGTGGAGTTTCTCTTGAAGCCCAAAAACAGGCAGAGGTTCAACAAGTGTTGGTTAAGGACGAAGTAATTGATTCCACAGTGTGAGAAACTGATCAAGTAAACTCAGAAATAGAATAACAAAATCATTTTGATCATTCATTCATTCAAAACACTAATCAAAATCCGGGTATAATATTCCAGTATCCATGAAAACAACCACACCTAAACGCCTCATTCCATCTCTCTCAAACGAAGATTTCTCCCCACAGAATTCAACTCAACCCCCACAGTCCTAACCTCTCTTCCCCGTCCCTCTAACATATTCCTCCGCCCGTCCCGCTCTATCCCTCGTAGCCCCCACCTCGGGCAACCCCCTAAACAGTCCTTCCAACCCACCAATGCCCTTCTCCCAATCCCCCTCCACCTCCACCATCCTCTCATTCCTCTCCAACCCCAATCCGCTCCCCCCTTCTGCAAAAATCGCCTCATCCTCCATCCCCAATTTTTCCCTCCACCCCTCAATCTGCCCCTCTTCCTCCTCCACCCCCTTCTTCCACTTTCCTTCCCGCTCTACCACCATCGCTGGCACAGTTCTCCTCAGCGCAGCAATCTGTTCTACCAATTCTTCCTCCTTGACCGCTAACGCTTTTGCTCTCTCCCATAATTGTCCATCAAACGGTTCATGCTCTTCGCGTTCTTCGATTATATCTTTATCCCTTTCTTCCGGTTGGAGATTGGCGTTTATGAGTTTACGCTGGGGCTCCATGCCATTTATGGAGATGCTGGGGGAGGCTGTTAGGAAAGTCTTGTGTATGTACTATTATGCTAGTTAGTATTCTTCCATTCTCTAATCCTAGCATTCCCTTTCCATTTCCAGTCCGAACGAAGCCTAACAACCACAGCATCCAAAAAAAAAGAAACATCACAAACCTCGCCCACAATCTCCTCCACCAACCTCCTCATCGCATCCTCCCCCTCTATCGGCGGTAAATCCCGATCAATCATTTCCCGCGCCGCCCTCTTCACATTCGCGATTAGATATTTCAAATCATCTGGCGATTGAAGTTCGATTTTCCGTTGTTGTTCTGCCATTTTTGTTTTCTATCGCCGTCCCTTTCCCTTCCTTTTCTTCCCTATATAACTGTGCTTTTCCCCTCTACTGTCCTATCAGCAGAGATGTTCGCGACGACGAAAGGATAAATGCAAGAAAAAAGGCGTTGCGCAATCGATTCTCCGCGTTCACGAAGCAGGACTACCTCAACTCGAGTTACCGAAAAGGCGAATCAAAGAATCCGTTCTAATTGACTCGAAGATTCAAGTATAAATGTACTCGGTAAGCAATTACGCAGTGTAGTGTGGAATCAAAATGTCGTTGTCTCAATTTTACTTCAAAGAGTATTTGTTTACATTCGCCAGCCGGTAACCAGCTTATCGGAAAACGACTTCATGGCACAAGAGCAGAGCTTCTAGACTTTTTAAAGTCCGTGCCCTGGAATTGATTAGTAATCATTTGACCTCACCGGGTTCCACTCTTTCTTTGTTTTGTATCTGAAACTACTCCCGTTGGATAAACTTACGTGCACGAAATAAGCTTTATGTTCTCTGAGAGGGTTTTCCCTATTATTTCTACGTCTCAATTCTGAAATATACTCACCAATAGGCCATCGAATAGATACCTAGCTACTATTAGATATTTAGATTCCCTTCGAGTATATCTGTTCTACATTTCCTACCTACTTACATGACAATCCACCTCACATTTTGGGTTGATATATTCCTATGATACGATGACTCTCAAGCACACCAAAATTGCCTGATAGCTATTCCATTTGCACTTTGCCCCTCTTCCCCGTTCCCTATAAAGTTTCTTTTCGCGTTCTCATCTCCGGGCTATATACATTCCGCGGGGGGGACTTCTAGTAGTCTAGACACAGCTACTCTTTCATTCACGCTTTTCAACCCGGATTGATCTGTCACATCCCGGTGCCACTTACCTACTCCAGACTATAAGTTATCGGCACGTGTCAGTCATGATTCAATACCACGAAGTATTGTCTAGGGGTCTGATAGATATAACCCAATACAAGAGCGCTCCCGTTGTTTGGAGAGTATCTTGCTGTTCCCAGCTAAACAACTAGACTTGTTCTTATGACATGTGATATTCAATAAAGCGTGAATGCTAAAGCCTGGACCGTATCACGTCTCCTCCAAGTCTTCAATTGCGTGGCAATCATTTGCGCAGAATCTATCAAATTCCGGATTGCGAACAGATGTGAGCCCCCATCCTCAGTAGTAGACGTAGACCTAGCTTCATCTTGGTGAAAGAATAATTTCCAAGCGTTCGGAGTCCGAATCAAGAACAAATTAGGACCGTCCATATAACTGGTAAAGACTACAGAGAAAAGCATCATCCTAAGAAAGCAAGCTATGGAAGCACCGCTCACAGGGAACAAACAACCCTAGAATGAAACCTTAAGTCGCGCAGAATTTCTGCGCAGCAGATAATGAGAATCTTCAGTTTAAGAGCGCTCGGATGTTACCACGCTGTAGTTGGTGAAACTTTCGAATCTCTGACGGCGCTTAGGGAGCAACGGGTTTCAGATCCGGGATTCTGTCAGATAGAAAGTGTCATTATTGATTAAGCCATCTGTCTTGTCTCGATTTGGATTGAGTTTACCGTAACATATTAAAGTTAAGTTTCCGTACTGACGCATACTTTCCGGCAGTTCGGATAGACCTGTGTTAGAAGATCAGAACTAGTATGTATCCTTGCAACGGTGGAAATACATGTGATATGCTAGTAGTGAATCATTGAGATCAAGGGTCTCGAAGAACAGAGGAAGACTGATGAGACGTCTAGAAATTTCATCTGACCAATGAGTCAATCTTAGGATGTCTTCGATTAACTCCGAATACTCTAGCAGCTGTACTATCCAAAACCAGATGTTCTATCAGGGTTGAAACCTAGCACGGATGGATATTGTGCACGGAGAAACAAAATGAATTGGCATTGCTCCTGCACAGTTTCTGCCATCCATAAGTTGTTGGGTGGCCTCTGTCTTTCTCAAGGAAACAGTTTATTTCGTCAAGCGAACCTGACTTCAGATTCGGCACAAAAAGCAGACCCAAACTTCAAGTTCAAACACATTGGATTGACAAGATGGTCAACACTGGAAAGCCATCCAGAGGGTGTTATCTCTGCAGATCTCGGCGAGTCAAGGTCAGATGTCATTCTCAATGCAGCATATGAAGGATACTGACACAAATCAGTGTGATGAGAAGAAGCCAGGCTGTGGTAACTGCCAAAGGTTGAAGCGTGACTGTCCTGGATATCGACCAATCTTTGATGTTATGCATCGTAATGGATCGAGTTCGACACAGCGCAGAACATCTCATGCAATCGCAACTACAACAGCCCTTGCTACGATTCAAATGGCTGGCACTCATAACAGGAGTAAATCCGAAGCTAATATAATACCTTATGCACGATGGAGACCAAGGCAAAACTCCTCTCCAGAGGTCCAGAGATTGATAGAAGCAATACAGAATGGAACACAATTGGCATGCCCGCCTTTGACAGCGGCATTGGAAGAACGTGCAATCTGTTTCTTTCTTTCAAATTATGTTTTGATTCCTCACGGGGCAGTGAGATGTGGCTTCCTCGGCTTTTTACTTCCATTGATGAAGCTTCAACCTTCGGCTGTCTTATCAGATTCACTGTCTGCGGTGGCGCTAGCTACCTTCGGAAATCAACCAAATGCTAGGACGCTAAAGCCAAAGGCCGAACAGGCCTACTTGAAGGCACTACGACAAGTCACTAACGCCATAGGCGATCCCAAACAAGCCTCTCAAGATACAACACTTGCAGCGGTCATGTTACTTGCGTTATTTGAGGTTTGTATCCTCCATTATTCCTTGAAGATGCCGTTGCTAACTGTGAGCAGACTATGGCATATAGTCTCGTGAAAGAGAATGAAGGCTGGAACACTTGGAATTCCCATGTGACTGGTGCAACAGTGCTTTTGAAGATGCGCGATGTAGAAGCTCCGATGACTCCTTTAACTTTGGAATTGATATGGACCGTAAAGGTACACTTGGTACGTCTAAAATTGTTTGCATCATTGATTAGATCAGTCAATTGATTTACGAGAACAGAACCTGAGTTGTCTCCTCAACGGAAAGCTGCTCGATATCCCAGCGGAGTGGAACGAAGTACTTACTAAGAGAAGAGACAAATCCAGGGGCGGCCCGACAATGTGTAATCGTCTACAATGGAAAGTTGCGGAAGCTCGTGTTGAATGTGATGAACTTATGGCCAGCGCGAAACGAACTCCTCAAGATTTCGAAAATGTCCTGAATTTGATGCGAAAAGCTGAAGCCATAGAACAAACCTACTCGGAGTGGGCAGAATCAATGCCAGCTCAATGCAATTATAAGCCCATAGGATGGATTGACGCTGTACCGGAAGAGAAATTTGCCGAATCGAAATATTTTCCGGGCAAGATTGACAAGTATCACGAAGTTTGGGTAGCTCATATTTGGAATCTGTCCCGAGCATCGCGATTACTCAACAACAGTACTATCGTCCGATGCGCTGCCTGGCTTTGCTCGCCACAAGATTACCGAACTACTGTGGAGTACGAGAAAGCTATGATAGCCGGAAAAGAAATGATTCGGGACATTATTGCCAGCGTCCCTAATTGTCTCGGGGAAATACCAACAGCTATGGATATCAAAATACCTTCTGAGCACAGCTTCGCGTGCGGAGATGAAAGCGATGTCCGTGCGAAAGGTCTATCTGGACTTTTCATATTGTGGCCTTTGTTTTCCATCGCTACTTCAGATTTTGTAAGCAAATCGCAAAGAACATGGGTCCTAGGAAGGATGAAGTATGCAGCAGAGGAGTTGGGAGTTAGCCAAGGATCCACTGTATACTCAGAGGTATGTGCATATTGAGGCTATATTTTGTAAGTGAAGTCGCTAATCGGTGTTATAGCAAAAATGTTCTGTACGAATTCCATCTTCGATGTTAAAAAAAGACGGTCTCATGCCTCCGAGGGTAGAGGAAATCTTGAACCTTCAGATTCCTCCTATCCAACAAGCCTTTGGGAATGTTGACGAAATCTGGACCGAAAAGAACAGGAGCTATTCTCATTATCCAACTCCAAGCCCAACATCGACTTCTGCATGTTCGCCGAAGGCCCAACACGATTGGACATTGTTGAACACCGAATCTCTCGATATAAATTCAATCAACAATTGGCCGCATCATACACAGTCTAATTGGTTCAATCCAGACTTGGATACCAATGTCATCACCTCAGTAGAGCCAGCTCAACAAACGTTGGCAGTTCAAAATCCTCATTTAGATTACCCGGTCGAATCTCAACGAGACAGAATATACCACGAGAGATTTACGGAAATATGCAAAATATGATAAGGACCGACAACGGATGGAAGTTTGCATGAGAATATGACGAATTTTATGACTGGTGTTATTGGTGGTATTGGTATTATTGGTGTTGGTGAGGTTAATTTTGGCGTACACTGTGTGGATTTAGCCCGGTCCTGCGCTTATCTACTTTTAAAGTTGGCGTCGAGTGGAAGCGGTAGAAGCGGAAGAAGCGAGGATATTAAAGCTTGGCGAGGTTCTCCAAAAAAGCTACAGCACTGTTGCTATGTATCATTATTATTGTAACGATGTTGTACATCACAACAATTCTGTAACCATCTGAATAAGTTACAAGTATGATTGATTGATTGTTCCGTATTTTGAGACATTCGTCGCTGCGAAATTATCTCAATGGAAAATCATGAACATGAAACCGTGCCAATACACATGATACATTTGATCATCAAAACATAGTTCGTGGAGAAACAGGACAATCCAATCATGATCAAGTTTCAAAATAAAACATGAACAAGACACCCTCTAAACTTTGATCCCTGACGCAAACTTTAACTTGATCTTAAACACTACCGAAGCATCTGTTGGCCGTGGTAACTTTATTGGCAACGATCCCTTCAACATTCTTATATAATGCTGGTGCACGCATAAACAGGTTTAATTGTGATAACCTCTATGGTTGAATAGTATCGGGATCTTGAATCCAATTGTACAGATGCACGTGCACACACGGTTTGACGATGAAAGGAATATCGAAGATCATAGGAAGGAGTGAGCCAGCCACAATAAGGCGACTTTCTTGAGAGGATTGCCTATCACCAACCGAATAAGTTACTATATTTTTGATTATCGCTCTTAACTAGATCTCTAGCTCACACTGGATATTTACAAGATATATGATCCAACTCCCCTCCCCCCGATTACCTAATCCACACCCTCCGCATACTCAACCTACCTAGGTAAGCTAACCACGATTAGCGCCGGGGTCACGATAACACGAGTGGGGTTCTTAGATAGTGAAAGCAAGCTGATAGCTAACCGTACATGTTGTGGGGATGGAGTCATTTTAGCACTCAGCGATTCAGTTAATTGTGAATCGAATAAGAAAAAGCAAGAGAAGTGTCTTACAATCCGAGCACACAGTCGTACTCTAGGTATATAATCTATATTCAGAACGGAAAGAACAAGACCAAAAACCAAAAATCAAACACGGAATCATCGGCATAAGTAGCTACCTGGGTAACTAGGATAACTTTAGCGATGACTTCATCACGAGTGGAAATGGCATCAAGAAATATCTCAGTCGGCTGAGAATGATCTTTCAAAAAAACTCATATTATGGCTACCTTATCTAAGTATCTAGTTGTATTAGAGATAGTCATGATTTTCTGGTGGAATTTGCAGTTGGTGTTACTTCTTGTATCGCAACGATTCGGTGGCCCCGAGTGTAACCTATGAAGCCTATGCAGTCGGTCTTCACATGAGGCTGAGTTCGTTGTACTTTCTTTTCCGCCACCACAATTTTTTTATCAGAAACTCAAGAAGCAATTTTGGACTAGCAATTTATGTTAAAAAGGAGTTGAATTGATCAAGGGGAATATGTTGTAAAAAGAGGGACGCCTAGTCCACTACACCCGATAACCAAATACCAAAAGAATTGTATCCAAACTCCTTATGTCTCCTAACAAAACCAAATACCGCCAGACCCTAAATAATATATGCCACTCGCAATCGCTGACCAGGCTACCTAAAAGATAACGCACCTCTGTACCCGTAAAATCGTAATGATATGTTCAAACCCTCAACGCCAGAATGTGCAGCCCAAGCCCATCGATTTATATCAACGTCCACCACTAGTGTTTTGTACACAACCTATTGAGGAAACATTTGCTTGATTTCCTCATCGCTCAATCTGATTTCAAGAACAGGCTCGCGCTTTCGTTCGAGCGATTCGAAGTCGGATTCCATATAGGAGGGGAAGAATATTTCTATCACAAAGTATTAGAATATTAAAATGGAGGACCATAGGGCTTTCTTACCTGGGTTCCAGTCAAACCCTTGTGAGGAACGCACGCAAGTGATCTATAAATAACATTCGTAAGTACATATTCGATCATTAGCAGCATTCTCATGCCGCAGTATAACGTACAAGTCGTGGTGTGCCGTCAGGGTCCCCAATATTGATTGTAGTGTGTTCTTCCTTTGCAAGTGCTGTGCCTGAAGTAGATAGGTATGTATGTTAGTCCTGTTCTCTGCTGATTGACATGAGAGTGATGATCCCGTCCGAATGTCCGTTACAATTCCATAAATTCAGAACTCTTGTATTCCGGGAATGAGATTTTAAACACCAACGAGAAGAAACACTTACTCAAAAGACTTCTTCTCCTATCATATCCATATCGAGTGTTTGGAGAAGTAGCAGCTGATGATGGAGATTGTTGTGATGTTGTAGGAGAGCTTGAATATGACGAGGAGCTACTTGGGCTTGCTGTAGCAGCAGCCTTATTGGAATTTCTAGTCGGAATCGTGATAGATGACGACATGGTTGACAGTTGGACGAGCTGGACGAGCTGGATATTGATGGATTTAGGTGATAATCAAAGGAAAGTCGAAAGTTTATGGAAGGAATCTTTCTCGCCAAACCGATACTCAGTAACGACTTTCCAAAGTTGTTGTATATGACTTGATTTGAGTCGTATGAGAATGAAAGTAAATGAAAGCCTGGAGATAGATTAATGTTGACATGAGTACCCCCCGTATTTGGTGGAGTCACAGATGGGGCCAACTAGTGCTGAGCTAATCTAAAACAGGTATAGCATGGCAAGGTTCCCATCCGACTGCGAGACACGCTTTAGGGCCTTGTTTCTGAGGCAAAAAGTCTTCTCACGTGATGTCACAATGATTAGCTAAGCATGATTCAAACACCAAGCCAGCCTTGAGCTTCAGCTAGGCTAACAACTACGCGCGCCTTCTAAGGACTTAAATTGAAAACGAATTAACAACAACATCATCATAACCATTTCCCACATCTCACCACTACCATACATCCGCATTCAAATCAAACCAGCAGATCTTCAATATGGGTGACGTTTTACTAGAGAACCCTGCGACTCAGGTTTTGCCCCATCGAAAACCATTACCATCCTCGATACCAAACATAGATTCGCTGGAGGGCTTAGGAACAGATGGAAGTGATGAATATTCAACATTGAAGAAGCTTCAAAGGCACTTGGAGTTAGCATAGTCTTGGATAGTTCTTCGGAAGTGAGATGCTAACTAAGGGTTACAGATATATCCAGCTCCAAGAAGAATATATCAAGGATGAACAAAGGTATGCGATCTGAACTCTATCCGTTGTTCATACAAGTACTTATCATGGTTACTTTAACAGAAGCTTGAAGAGGGAGCTTGTCCGAGCTCAGGAAGAAATCAAACGTATTCAAAGTGTTCCTTTGGTGATAGGGCAATTCATGGAAGCTATTGATCAAAAGTACAACACCCACTTGTTCATCTTTCCAGCAATTAGTGATACTAACGCATCCAACACAGTACTGGTATCGTACAATCATCAACAGGATCCAACTATGTTGTTCGAATTCTATCCACCCTCGATCGCGAACTTCTAAAACCATCCTCCTCTGTCGCTCTCCACAGGCACTCAAATTCATTAGTCGACATCTTACCCCCTGAGGCCGATTCGTCAATTGCCATGTTAGGTTCTGATGAGAAACCCGATGTCACATACGCAGACGTTGGAGGACTTGATATGCAAAAGCAAGAAATTCGAGAAGCCGTCGAACTTCCATTAACGCATTTCGACTTATACAAGCAAATTGGTATCGATCCACCACGAGGTGTTTTACTATATGGTCCACCAGGAACAGGAAAGACTATGCTTGTCAAGGCAGTAGCAAATTCAACAACTGCCAACTTCATCCGTGTCGTTGGGTCCGAATTCGTACAAAAGTATCTTGGAGAAGGTCCACGTATGGTCCGTGATGTGTTCCGTATGGCTCGTGAGAACTCCCCAGCTATCATCTTCATTGATGAAATCGATGCCATCGCCACAAAGCGTTTCGATGCACAAACTGGAGCTGATAGAGAAGTTCAACGTATTCTTCTCGAGCTTTTGAACCAAATGGATGGTTTCGACCAAACTTCCAATGTTAAAGTCATCATGGCCACCAATCGTGCCGACACTCTCGACCCTGCTTTGCTTCGTCCCGGTCGTCTGGATAGAAAGATTGAGTTCCCCAATCTTCGCGATCGCAGAGAGAGACGTTTGATTTTCACTACTATTGCGTCAAGAATGTCATTGTCACCTGAAGTCGATCTTGATAGTTTAATCATTAGAAATGATCCATTATCTGGTGCCATTATTGCAGCTATCATGCAAGAAGCTGGTTTGAGAGCAGTGAGGAAGAACAGATATAACATCATTCAATCTGATCTTGAAGATGCCTATTCTAGTCAAGTTAAGGGTGCACAAGAGGTATGTATAGAGCTGAATTTTCCATTAATTCTTAACAATTCGTATCAAAATATACTAACATTTTTCAGGCCGATAAATTCGACTTCTACAAATAGAGGAATCATCATTGCGACAAAGAAAGTGGTGAGAAATGGCACGGGGGCGGGGTGGAAAGTGGAAAATGCCTTGAAATGTGACATTTCTGAGAAGTATCAGATGCTTCATTCATGCTAGGCTTTTGCAATTGTACCAACATACCAAACATTACGTTGTAGTAATAATTCCTGCAATGAATGCAAGGAACTTTATACAAACTGCATGAATCTATACCCTTTTGACATGAAATCGGTTTGCTTCAGTGGGTGGAATATCAACGATTTCAATAGTGATTACTTGTGAAGTGAAGTGTGATTTGTCAATCATTCAAAGCGTGGGTGTAATGAATTAATTTGTGGCATATCTGATTCGGATTTTGAGACATACATTGTTACAAGATGGTAAGAAAAACATCGGTCATTCTTCAAGTGGAGACGAGGGGATTGAATGAAGAAACAATCAT